ATTTAAAAACCGAGATTCTCAATGTTTTAGGACGACGACAAGTTTGTAATTCATTCTCATTTCTTAAATGAGACCTAAACATGCACCCAATGACACATGTACGATTTCCCACCCATTTTGCTTCACTGGAGCATGTGCTTGTAGTTCAAATTTAAATTATGGACTACGGGTATTTGTACTGTCTCATATGCTTGTAGTGCCAAACATTCTTTGCTTTGATCCGATGCTTGACCAGTAAATCCAAAACATTAACGTGTGCATCAAAGGCGCTCCCTCGTTGTAGCCACGTGGGCACAAAGGATTGGCGAGGGCCAAGGGGGAAAAGTAAAAAAGCGCATCGACCCTTCGATCCTCTCGCACGCAAGCCTCCCCTCGTCTGCCCCCACGCTTTCCTCCCATCCGTCCAGATCCGTCCTCCTCTCCTCGTCTCTCTCCCCCGCGTCTTCCTCCGGGGAGCCTTGCGGCTGCAGCAGGACAGGAGTGGGGCGCCGTCGCCGCCGCGCGTACAGCCAGCCGGTGCCACCTCCACTCCGGCGCCGATTGATGGACCTCTCCACCCTCACGCGCCCGCCTCCTGCCTCCCGCCCCCAGGACCTACAGATCCTTGCCTTCCCCATGGGTGATGTCTCTAGTGGAGGAGGGCGGAGACTCGCGCCGCCGTCGACCTGTCCTTCTCGTCGGCCGCGCCCCATGTAGCAGGTAACTAACAAATGCCAGTTTTTAAAAAGTTTGCAGTTAGTGAGAAGGAGGTAAGCAGCATGAGAAGAAGGAAGAGGAGAAGTATGGATCTGCCAAGGAAGCAGCGGCTGTCAGGGAGCTGTCGTTTATGAACCCTCTAAGGGAGGAGTTGTCTTGTGTTGTAAGGGCGTCTCACAGATCGATATCTTTGGTTTCATGTCTTCTCAGTGCATATGTGATTATCTCAGACAATAATCTTTCAGGTAATCTCTACTAATTGTGCAGTTTGTAACAATTTCGCTAAACAATGACCTCAAGGCATATGCCGTCAGCGGGAGGAGGGTAGCAGCAATCGCAGCAGGTGGCAATGGTGGTGAAAGCGTCGGATGTGGGTCGCTTCAGCGCGAATCGATGATGGCGCAAGGCCCACCGATTCTTCTGCTGCGGTGCTGCACAACGGCGTCTCTGCGGGTATACTAGCGCCTCCTCTTCTCTTGTTTCTTACTGATGCAAGCGGGAGAATGGTAAATATGGAGATTAGCCAGTGAGACATGGTTGTTAAATTTGTATTTTGTGGTACATTTTTTGAGGGATCAGTGATGACGCAAGGAACTATGACCTCCAGCGAGATGGTCTTGGGTGCAGTAGCGAAATTTGTTCATTGGATAGAGCTTTGAATAGGTTAGCCCACCTTCTCTCTATTTACATTCATGTGCAGAATGGGTGGTGTTGCATCAGAACCTTTTGTTTCTTCTTTGGTCATGTTACATATGTATCAAGATGTGAGTTACTAAATGTTCATGTACGTCTCATGGATGGACACTACCTTGCAGGCTTAATGGTTTTGGTTCAGGTAGAAGAGATCCATCCTTAGGCTGAATGGTTTCTTGATCTTCACTCCTATTTCTCAGCATTTTTGTTTATCCTCAAATAGTTCCTGCCTAGCTCGTTTGTACACACGTGTGCTTGTTATTATTCTGAAGGTTAAGTGGGTGAAATAGTTGGTGATGTTTAGTGTGGAAGCCACTCAAAACCGTTGTATATAGTTGCATTTTAGATTTTTCGTCCAACGATGTGTTCAAATTTATACAATTGGATTTCCAAAGAAAATTCCTGAGTGTTTGTTACACAAAGACAAGATCACAAGAAAGGGACTTTTAGTCAAGTATTAGTGAATCCTACATTTGTTTTAGCCCTTCTATTGGCAGTATACTGATCTGATAACACATATGTGTGAAACAAAATTGAAATACTCAGGTTTGGTATTGTTCTCTTCTGTTTTTTATTGGGTTTAGGATGGCTTACCGCCCTTACATATTTACTTCAGAACCTTCTGTCCAGTAGGTGTTCTTCGCAAATTTATTACGACCAATTTTCATAGCCAGCTATGGTTGCTTCATGATCCCTTGTCTTGAACTTTATTTTCCCAAATTGCTTGCTTGTGATGGATTAATATGTCATTTTGTGAGTGTCGTGTGCTTGTTTAAAATTGATTCTCTTGTTGCCGTTTTTCTTTTGAGCAGGCTGCTTGAATTTTAGGGGACCTGACAGGGACTACAAGATCGATGTTGCATTCATGAATCTCTCATACACAGATAAGAAATATTCTCCCTCAAATCATTTTAGTGCATGATGGAGGTTTGCTCATGTCCTTTCTATTTCTGTTGGTTAGAAAATATTTTCCATTGTTGGGCATTCACAGAAATTTAGGGAATATTTGTTGTCAATGATTTTATTGCGGTCCACACTCCAAAGCTGATTTAAGGATCAAGTGAAGGTGGAGCGGCATATTCAAACTTGCATATCATGGCCCAACACGCTCTCGAGCAATCCGACATTGTTTACTCTCCGTTAGGTTTGCCTCTGTTTTTTTGTTTTCCAACTTTGCTTCTTCTGTACTTCTTTGTTTTCTTATATGTTTTTCACAGCTCTTGGCAGCAATACCTCGCGCGAATATATATTTTAGAGTTAATGAAAATCTCAGTTACTCTTGGCTCACTGCAATATAGCAAGTATATCTTTAAGATGGAAATTTATCTAACATTTCAGTTTATTTTACTGCAGGTCTACTAACACTCTTGATCCTCATAGGATCATGGATGTTGCTTCGGATAAGACCAATTAAAGAAATTATAGGCCCTGTTATTGAAAGAAGCGTTACAATAGCTACCCGAACTACTAAGGAGTTTACTCTTAAGGTGAATGCTATGGACTATTTCCCTAGCTGTACATGTTCATTAGCCATTTTTCTTGCTGTAGTCAAAAAATTTCTAACACGCTGTCATATTTTCCCGGTAGGATTTGGCAATATAATCTGATGATAGTGTTTTATCTCACGCTCCACATTTGATGGTTGGCATGCTAGCTGTGAGTCTAGCTCATGTAACTTCCAAGGTATTTTTGCATAAGTCTCTTAGAGGTAGTTTTGTAGTTGTAGTTACAGTCCGGCGCATTTATTATTAGAGTCATTTAGGTTTAGATTTGATGTATGATGCTATATTCAATTGTCCTGTCTTCTGCGCAGGAGCCTCTTTGTGTTGTTTTGTCATCTCATCATCGAAGTCTCATTTAGAACTTGAACAATAACAGTGAAACCGCTGAGCAGATTGTTCATATTATGATAAATGACAAATCTAGATCGTGGTGCTAATATATCCATGCAAAAACTCCAAGCATTCTTTGTAGCTGTGACTCAGGGGGCGGGGTATTCTTATTTTTCTTGGTGTATTAATTTTTTGAAAAAAAATAGTACTTCTCTATGTGTGACTAAGCTTATATAAAAAATTATCAACATCCACAATCATTATATCAATCATGAAATATATTTTCATGACTTTGGTATTGTAGGTGTTGATGTTGTTTTAATAAACTCGGACAAACATAGGAATGTTTGACTTAAAAAATTGTTAAGAGACCTTATATTATAGGAGGGAGTATACTAAATCTGTAAGTCTTAATTTCATAAAAATGTGATCATGTATGATATTCAAATTTGCATCTTTAGAAAGAACTATTTCCTTGCATTTTGTTCCTTTCTATTAAATTGTATGTTATCTGCACGGCTGCGTTTGACATCGTCGTAGCTTTTAAATGATCTGATACGACGAACCTCTGTACTAGCACATTTGGCTGATGGGCTGTATGTTTCTAGTCCAAGTGTTAGAAGCTAAAATTTAAAGTTTTATCATGGATAACAAAGTAAAGAATTGATGTGTCTTTTTGCGGGGTATATAATAGAGGTATCTAATTGTATGTTTTCTTGCAAGTAAGCTCAATTATATTTGTTTTCAGGACAATCATATATATTTATAAAATAAATTTTAACATAATCACAGACTGGACCTAAGCCATCTTAATGATTAATATCGCCACTTTTTTCATTCGACACGTGAGCATAAGGATCCTAATTTATATCCAGCGGTTAAAACATGGGCCTTTTCCATAAGAAAGCATAACACATTTATAAACAGATATCCCTATTTTCATATTTTTTTTGTTTCAATCTTCTCATGACAGGGGTTACAAAGCTAAGTTGTCAATGTTTCATAGGGCTATGAAGACCTACGAATGTATGGAGGGTGATCGTGCCATAGAATGTGTCGTTTTTGTCATGGTATAAGTGTATTATTTTGTCCAAAATATCTTAC